GATCAACCACAGACAATGTCTATTTGTCTTTGGCATGCTTTATGGAGTTTTGGCAGAAGATATACATTTGTAATTATATTTCAATTTGGCTAATGTTGAAATGACTGCGTTTCCTGAGTATAGGGAGAATGCAGCCCAAGTGTGTGCTGGCAGGCAAGGAGAGGCCAACTGGGAATTACAGATATGCTGTGAATAATTCCTGAAGTGGATCATGCTGAAACTGTCATTAGAAGGGGGTCTGCATTAGTTTGGGTGGCAAATTTATTTTGATAGGTTAAAAAAAATAACATTCTTCAAAGTGGAAAACATGGATAGCCCTTTTAGAACACACAAAGAAAGTTTGTTCTTTTTTATGTCATCAAACATTGAGAACATTAGAGTTGTGCTGTTGTTACTTGCTTTGGTCATACCTTTCAGCTTACCCTTTGAGCCTGTATTTGTGCATATTGTACACAGTGTTAGAAAAGAAGTAGATAGTCTAAAGAGATGACAAGCAATTCTGAGCAGAATGTATTATGGAGAGACTTTATTGGAATATTGCTTAAGAAATATTCAATATAGTGGATCCAAGCCATCCTTATAAGAGCTGGCCTAAATAGAATTACCCTCTCTTCACTTCTGTCTACACTGAAAACAACTATCCAATCCCTTGTAACAAAAGAAGCATCAGATGAGCAGCTAAGGCCAGGAGCCTGTGGGGGATGTGAAGGGGAATGAACGAGAATGGGCCTACACTTGTTGAGCAACTGGTACAGACCACGCTCTAGAAGTAAGCTTATTTTAATTGTAATAAGATTGGCATTTTTGTGTTCATCTTACACGAGGACTTAATTAAAAACTTTAATTATCTTACTATCTTAGGGAAGGCATAGAGCTGATATTCCTCCCCAAAACTATGAGAAGGAAATATGTGGGTTATTTTTCTTTAATGTGTACTAAAGCCTGCAGCAGTGAAATCAACTGAAACTGCCTTTTAAAAATCCATTTTGCTAAGTAATGTAAGAAAACTCTGTGCTAGAAATACTGTTATACTATGGTGAGAGTTCATTTCTAGCTTAAAGGATCAAACCAGGCAGAGGGAGTGTATGGTACCCAAGTTGAGTATGAAAAGATGGGTAGTAGCATGGTCAGTACCTACATCAGCAGAACACAAGTGACCAAAGGCATAAAGGTGAGAAAGTGTAAGGAAGGACAGGTAGGCATGGGGGGTCTGGTGTACTGAGTACCTGAGGGAGAGTAGCATGGCCTGTGATTAGAAAAATAAGACAAGGTAGCATGCGTAATCATGGATGTCATGCTAAACTCTTCTGAACAGCATGGGTAGCAGCTGACAAGTTCCTGAGCTGTTAAGATGCCTGACAGCAGTTGCGCATCAGTGTGATTGTTTCTGTTGCTCTGTGGAGGGAAAGTTTAGGCAGAAACCAATAGTGAAGGAAGATACCAGGAGGAGGGGATATTTCTAAGGAGGTCCCTAATCTCATCACTTCATTTTGTAAATTTCTTATGCTGCTTCTCAAATACCAACGTTTGATTTAAATCTGACATATTCCCTTTCTTCCTACCGTCTTTGCTTGTAATACTGTTACCTTCCCTAAAGAAGGGGACATGATTGTGAACATCCAAGTCCTAGATAATAGCAACGAAGATTTGGACTAGTATTTATGATTCTCGTCTTTGGAAAGTTTAACATCTCTAGTCACAACCATTCCCTTCCATTAATTATTTATGTACTTTCATCTTAACATCTTGCCACTTCCAGCTTTAATCACTAATCATGTGGCTAGATTTCTCAGAATATGTGGAGCCAGAACTCTGCTTCTTTCCACACCCTGCAAATCCTTTCCTTGAATGATTTTCCTTTGAAGTCAATGGTTAGTCCATACAGAAAAGAAAATATATGAGGTACTGAGAGAAATGAGTGTGAGGCCCAGGCACCAGAGGGAGAAATGTGTCTTTCTTCAAGCACCTTGATACATTTGACCCTATTCTCTGTTTGTAGGTTTTCACTAAGATCCTAATGATTTCAGTTCTAAAACAGAGACTTCAGGTTCTTCAGGAAATACAGAGTCCAGAATGTTTTCCCATACTGGGAGAAGAGGAAAAAGGAGTTGTATTTTGAAGTATAGGAAAACATGACAAAATTGCAGTGATCTCTCACCCTTTGATTTCATTTCAATGTTTTGTTTATAAACTTCAGCTAACAGTTATGCACAAAAAAATTGCAGGGAAAAATATGATCCAAGGATATTTTTGAGTTTCTTCCCAAATTAAGCTTCTCTTTTAACTGTTTTCAGTAAAACAAGCATCAGTTGTTAATACATACGGAAGAGAAAGTTGAAACTATTTTCAGCAAAGGAATTTTATTTTCAGATGCTGTTTTTGAATGACTCCTGTTTTGAATTTTTCTTTTTTGAAGAAGGAATTAATTTTATAGATGTGTGGATTACATGATGTACAACTGGCTTATACTTCACATTTCGAGCAATTAATTATTGACCTAGTAGAAATGATTGAATTATAAGAGAAAGGCTTTTAAGTAAATAGCAAAAAGGGAATCTTGGTATCTTGTTCTGGTTGCCTCTGATTAGCTTTGTAGACCCAGACAAGCTTTTCACTTCTATCTGTTATCTAGTAAAGGGAAATCATAGATTTATTTGCTTTTCAGAATGCTTTCTGATATTTAGATGAAAGATAAGTGATGGAAAAAACTTATCAGCCAGCAAGAGTAGACTACTTTTATAGGGTACAGTCACACATTAACACATTTCAGTAGGACAACTGAGGATCTGTACAATCAAATACAACCACTAATCCCACAGAGACCTCTTTTCTCTACAGAAGTCCTCAGTGCTTGCCTTCAGGTTGCATGGTATCGAGAAAAGACACCAGAGCATTGGCCAGGGCTTCTATTTTATTTGATGATTAGTAAGATACATACCTTAATTTAATATATGTTTCAGACTTTTTAATTTAGTTTTATGTTCTGCTTTCACACATATGTATAATAAATACATTTTACATCAGGCCAATTCCAATTCTGTATTTTTGGTTAACTGAATTTATTTGAGAAATATATACATACACATTTCTTTTATTCTGGCAGCTTTTTTATGAGATTTTCTGCATCTATTAACTACTATTTGTTTCTAAAATATTTCAGTTTATACCAGAAGTCAGATGATTATTGTGCTTTGAAACATTTCACAGTACCTAAGAAACAGGGCACTAAGGTCAAAGAAAGATAAACTATTAATGGAGAAACTTATCTCCCATTAACATAGTCCTCTGGCGAAAACAAAAATATGAAAAGAATTATACCACTTCTTTGCTTGGAAAAATAGCAGTTTCCTCTCTTATGCCAGAAATTAAAGGATGAAATTTCAAAAACTAAGCTAAAACTTTGCATATTTGTAACATTTTCTATCCAAATTGATTTCCAAATATGTACCTAATGTTTATAGTTTAAATAGTTCTTTTTAGTTCTACATACTAAAACTTTCATTTTGTAGATTGAATAATTGGGATATTAGCATTTCAGGTAATTAAACAAAGCCATTTGGCAAGTCAATAAGAATGCCAGAATGATCGACTGTCTGCCAATGTTATGCAAGGCATTTGGTCCACACTCAATAAATAGCATGTTGATAGACCATTTGGTTAAATGAATTTCTATGTTAAGATGTCTTTTAAATTATATCTATTGTACCATAGCCATTCCATCTTGTGGGGCAAAGAAAAGTTAAAAATGAAAGCATTATTATAGGAATTAGTATCGGTCTTTTGGGGATTGTGTTTTGGAGTTTTATGATAACCAGAAATTTAGAGGATTTCGTGTGTTCCCTTATTTATTGTGGACATCAGGTTAGGATAGACATTGATGAATAGCATCTGTGTGCTTAATAAACCAACAAGAGCCAGTGGTTGTTGGAAAACCTAAAGTATGATGCCATTCTTGGTACCTCATTGTGCTAGCCATATTCTAAAATTTTGCACAGAAATTTTCACCCTTTTTTCTTGACATGTTTTACCACATATAAGGCCCAGGACTGAGTCTCCTGTTCCACCATCCAAGTTTTTTCTCTACTGATAGTTCTAAACCCAAACTTCAGAAAACATTTATAAGCCATATTTCTACCTAATTTTGTAGCAGTTCTTAGCGAAAGATGTCATCATAGGTGTTTAAGAATGGGGGTTGTAAAGCTAGGCAACTGGGTCTTGAATCAGATTTCCTAAAGTGGTCAATTAATTTTTCCCTGTGTCTTAGTTTCTTCATCTTAAAAATGAATGCATTATTATTGCTTTTGTTACAAAAATGTTCAAAAGAATTGAAAGGCAGGGAAGGGGCATAATCATGTCCATCCTTATTATACAATAACTGCAGTCTCTTAGGCATTTGGAGCCTCATTGTGAAGAGGGTGATCATCATGAGAAACTGGATAATTCTGGGCAAACTGAGAATAAAGAAGCAAGTTGTTGGTTCTCTAAAGTTACCATAAGATTAAGTCTTTTAGGATGTTTAGTTCTGTTTTTCAGTATTTTTAATAGGAGGCTTCAAGCTATTGAGGAACCTTGTAGAATACTTTCATGAAGAAAAATGATATTGCTGCATTAAGATATGAAGTTTTACATACATTTGGTTTACAGCACTTGGCCTGATTTCAAGACAAACAGTTCAGTGATACTAAGAAATTGTGCTCCAAAGCATGGAAAACACTTGTGAAGGAAATAAGAAGGGATAAAATATGAATAGTTGAAGTACTTTAAAGAGCAAGTCAGAAGAATTTATCCACTGCACCATTTTTAGTGAGAAGTTTCTTATCTGTCATTGAATTGACTTACCTAATTAATACCATAACTTACATAGGGATCAATTATAGAAGGAAATAAATTTAATTATAAAGCATGATATGACATGTCATTGGTATTTGCTTTCATACTGTTGGAGAATATCATGTTATTTCTTTCTTTAGAGTGAACTCTGTCCTAATTTTGAAAAGCATCCTTTATTTGAAAGAATGTAGGTGAGTGACTCCACATGACAAGTCGTTTGTTCTTTACTGAATACAGTATTCCTCTCTTGCTCCTAACTGTCTGAATATCATTCCCCATTTCACTCCACTTCCAGACCCTAGACATCTAGTATGTTGTCAGATAAAATCATTTTCTTCTAGATGATTCTTAATGACATTTCCCCCCCCACACACACAAGCCTTAAAACCTTTTCCTCTATGTTCTTTTTAAATTATTATTATTAATAGAAGGACAGAAGAAAAGAAGAAACACACTTCATGAATTCAAAAAGTCAGCAAAGACTACTCTAAGTAAAGAAGACCCATTACTGAAGATAAAAACAAAGAAAATGACCACTGCAGACCAATGTGCCAAGAGATGTATTAGGAATAAAGGATTTCCATTTACTTGCAAGTAAGTTGCTTCGTTCTGCTCTTATGCTAATTTTCCAAATATAGCATGTACTAATTATCATCATGTTTTTTTTCCTTTGGTATTCAATATAATTTACCCTTAAAATTACAAGCTTGACTTAGGTTTTAACTCTATATAACAGAAAACTTAGCTCTCAGTTGATGGAAATATGAATAAGGATAAGCATATAAACTTATCTTTTAGAATCCACAGCAGCTTTGGATATGGGATTTGTGCTCTCTCATCTTACAAACAATTGAACTTTAGGAACTAAAATTCACCTAGACTGACTTTTATCTCTTTAAGGTTTTGAAATATTCTATTCAGAATAAAGCTGTTTTTTTTTTCTTGCAAGAGGCGTGGAGGAATTTTCAGAATATAAACTGGACAACAGCCAACTTATATCATTGTCTTTAGGGACTTAAATAGAAGGTGTTGAGAGAATTAGATAAAAAGCTAGAGAGATTGGTGTCAGCAGCACAGGCTTAAAAGATGTTAGGGGGTTGTGATGATGAAGTTTTAGGTGAAAAGGCAATTCAAAGAGGTACGAGGAGACTCTTGTAGAGAGTTTTCTTATCTTTTGAAAGTCCTGTGTGACCCCACAAGAAAGAATTCCTTACTACTTTGCCAGAAATCCCAGAGGATAAAACTCAAGAGTTTTGCACCATGCAGGTGACAGTTTCATCTAAATAATCTTCCAAACTGCCAGAAGAAAACGCATTTCCTAGTTCTTTGAAAACATTCCCTGCCCTCACTTTCCACCCTTTTGTTCCCTGCCTCATTCCATTTTTCACAGGATTATATGACTTCCTGTCAATTTCGAATTCATAATGTGATTGCAGACTTAATTATGTTGTGGCAAGTAGTCCTAATTTCATATTGCCTTTCTCAGAAAAATGAGTGATATGGGCCTGTGGAGAAAGGACATGGTCAGAGAAAGTCTTCAACAGACTGAGGGGGAGGCGGGACTATCTTCTTCCTATTCATTTACAACTCCTCTGAAAGTACTTTATAGCCAAACTGCCCCTCTCAGGGAGGTATTTCCTGGCAAGGAGAGTGGAGAATTGACTTTGCAAGTATATTTCAATGATAAGTCTGTTTTTCCCCTGACTTTTCTTTAAGAGCCTTCAGATTGTTAAAAATAAGTCAGAGAAAACTACTTTTAATCAACATTTCAGCTGTGTAGATTTATGGAGATATTCTTCTGGCAGTTGAATTGGCTGGATTTATTATATTTTCCCTCTCTGGGTTGCAAGGGCAGGGCAAATGGAATGGGAGAACATCTCATTGTTGATTTTTAGCTTTGAATCTGAAAATACACTCTCCAGGAACTACAGGTAAGGGAAGAATTGGTACCTCTAGATTTTTACAATAGTCTGGGGGAAAAAGAGTTTCCCTCTGTTTCATTTAACAGAAACTAAACTGATTTTGCTGCATTTGAGAACACATGTTACCTAATAAATCTTTACATAGCCCATGCATATGAGGTTTCATCCCATCTTCTGCTTGAATTATATTTAGTGTCCAAATTTATGGCAACCTGCACATAAACCACATGTGATAATACCTGCGTACAGCCAAAGTTCTTCTGCCAAGAAATGGTGTCATCCTCTCACTCATCTATCCCAATATATATATATGTGGTTGGACTCAGATTAAGTGGCAGGTTATTGATTCTGTAACTTTAAAAATTCTTTTTAAATGTTTGCTTATTTTTTATCTTTGTATGTATTATTTAATTACTATGCTTTTAAGGCCATTTAATACCATCCCCCCAACACCCTACAATAGGGAAATAGGGAATTTAACATGTACTACATAAGCTTAGAGTCTACCAGATCAAAATTCAAGTCATTATTAGCCAGTTCTCTCCTATCAAGTAATCCTGACACAGGTGCAAAAATATACTTTTATGATTTGCTCTTAATTACTATTTCACCTGTAAAAGGTTCTTGTAAGTGAACATTTCAAAGCATCTACATGTAAATCAAAGCACAAAGTTTATGAATATAACTTTTGAAGTTATTTGAGTATAGCATAAATATACTAAATAAAAATATAGAATCATAGGTAAAATATTTTAAATAATTTTATAATATTTTTATATTTGTTTTATAGAAGCTATTTCCTCTTATTTAAAATTACTTAAAAGTTGTCAAAATGTGAAGAAATTAGTGACTAATGTGAAATATCTAAAATCACAGGAAAATTATATGTTTTTAAAAATATATGGACTGGAAGTGAAAAATTCTTATTCTTAGAAAAACTGTATTTCTTTTAATTAGATACTTTTAGATGGTGGCATTATAATTAGTATGAACATAGTGAGAAGGAATTTTCATAATATTCCTTAATGGAAGGAAAATAGTTCAGAATTCTAACTTAATTTCCAGTATTGTAAGAAATGATAACATTCAATATGTTGAAAATTTTTATCAAGCACTTTACTACTCTTAGTTAAGGGATTTTTGTATTTATCATTTTGCTTTGGAAGGAAATTTTTTAATGAACAACAACAAAAAAAACCAATGTAATAATTAGCCATAGGAATGATAATTGTGGAAGTGACACAGTTCAGTAATTTTCTTCAAAATAATATATCAAAAGCATAATCTCTATGATATTTTTTTAAATTAAAAATGCTTATGCAAGCACATCTATTTAGAAAACATTGACTTATGTAAACAGTTATCCTAATAACAAGATTTTCAGAGCCTTTAATAAACTTCAAGTTCACCCCAGAAGTATATTATAAGCAAAATTTTCCAAGCATTTGATTTTAGATCCCTCTTTGTTAGTAGAATTTCTTGGGTTAGTGATTATTTAAAGTATTTTAGGAAATGTCACTTTAAAATGTACTTCACGCAATTACAAACTTTGGAAATTAATAATAGTATTTCAAATATACTCATTTGTATATAACCTGCAAACAAAATCTTCCAACTAGTTGTGTATGTGTACTCTACAAAATCAATTGTCTTCAGAAATGAAAAAAGTGGTTGTGTTACACATTGATCTTGCTTGTTGAAACCGTCAGTTTTCTAGATGTCATGTAGAATAACATGAGAACATTCCAAATATTATTCTACCTGATATTTAAATCTACACCTACAAAAACTTAATTTTGTTCTTTCTTATTTGCCCATCAAAATACTAGGTTCAAATATCACTTATGTTTTTATTATGTATATGAATTAATGCATTTTTTTATATTACCCTCCTTGGTTACACCATGGGCCTATTCTTTAAAAACTGTATAAATAGTTGTATTCCTTCTTTTCATTCAGATGTTTTTTTCAGGGCCTTTGTTTTTGATAAAGCAAGAAAACGATGTCTCTGGTTCCCTTTCAATAGCATGTCAAGTGGAGTGAAAAAAGAGTTTGGCCATGAATTTGACCTCTATGAAAATAAAGGTAACAGGCTCCTCCTAAATATTTCCTAATGAAATATAGTATAAAAAATATGTAATTTTCTGCCCACTGCTCTTTTCCACTGCTTTATTTTTTCAAATACTGGGTCTGTTGTGCAGTTAGCTTATCCATTAAGACAGATGCCACTAGTTCTTTGACTATTTTTAGCATGATACTTTAAAGAGAGCATTTCCCAAACTTCCCACATTTAGATTACCCCCTCCCTCTTTGTTTATTTTTAGGAGCATCTCCTAGAACTGGTGTTCTCTATGTTCACTTTAGAATGAAACCTTATTAGTTTAAGAGACCTTATATTACGTCAAATTTTAAGCTTATTATATAGTGTTTTAAATTCTAACAACTTTGTATAACTAAGTTGCAGTGATGATTGTTGACAATAACAAATTGTGGAGATTTTGAAATATTAGTAGGATCTATTCCTAATCATTTAAAATCTTTACTTAAAATCCTTTAAAGAAGTATTAAGATGATGTTATTTATTAATTTATATATTTTGGTATTCTGATATTGTATTTAAAAAGTATTTACTTCATTCAAAAACAGAATTATATCAATGAAATAATTGAAGAATGTTAAATAAATATGAATTTTACAAGATCTCTCATCACACCAAAGTAATAATCATGGGTTGTGTTTATGACAATAGTATTTATTTAAATTTTTATGTTTCCTTAAATCATACCCTCTTATTAAGTTTGGATATTTGATAATGTATAGTTATTTCCTTGCTAATAGAGTATATGTTTAAATTAAAATTAATCATGGTAGAAAATAGAATGATCTTCATATATCCCAATAATTTTACAAATCCTAAGTATAATTCATAATCTAGGATAGGACTGTATTAAATCTTCTAATGACTGTATATACTATCAACTGCTAATAACTGTATATACGAAAAACTGTATATATAATTATTTGATAGGACTATACGGATTATTTCAATATTTCCTGAGTAGGAAATGTTAGCAAAAATATGGAAAATAATAATTCACATAATGTAATCACATACATATACATGCATACATAAAAACCCACACAATTTTACTGAGATAAAGACACATTAGTTATTCTTATTACCTTAAAATAACTTTCTGAATTTAACATAGGTTTACAAACCACTTAATTTTTGTTTTTAGTATTTTCTTAAAATGGTTTGTATATTTTAGCAAATCATTCTGCTAAATTAAATTTGCCTGGGCAGTCAAGTATGTAGACTAATCTACATTAAGTACAGAGACTAATCTCTGTAGTTATCCAGGTATACGCACAAAATCAAAACTTCTCAATAGTCTTTTGTTTGTTTTGTTTTGGATTATTCTGAAAAGGTTATTTTGCAAATATTAGTAGAAGCTTTGAGCAATACATTTCAATAGGATTTGAGGTAGTTTACAAGCATTAATTACTTAAAGATTTGAATAGAATTACTTTCTTTTTGATGTCTACAGTGTATGTTCCACAAAATCAGGACAGTTTTCTCTGCTTTTTTCTGGTAGATTACATCAGAAACTGCATCATCGGTAAAGGTGGCAGCTACAAGGGAACAGTTTCTATTACTAAGAGTGGTATCAAATGCCAGCCCTGGAATTCCATGATACCACATGAACACAGGTAAGGAAAGCATGAAGAAAAGAGGACACAGCCAATCTCTCTTTTATATGTGTGTTAGCAACCTCAAGTTAGTCCTTCGGAATAATCCTACACTTCTCCAGTAACTAAGCCAACTTTGGTGAATTGTATTATGCCAAGGCCTGTGTGAATTCATGACTGATATTTACCCAAAGATTATCACTAAGATGTGACCTAACATGATCTTACCTTAAGAGCTCAATTTATAGATCTTGGTATTTGTGAAGAAATAACAATAACATAATATCTTAAAAATATTTGTTTTCCCTTCCTTGGCCTTTGATAAAGTATTGGACTCTGCAGCTGGAGTGAAGACATTGCTAAATCAGAGATGGATTAGGGGCCAAATGTTCTTTAACCATCTTGATTCTCAGCTTTGGCTGCAGATAAAAATCACATACTATGAGCCTGTAACTAATCCCGCTACTCAGGCATCAACACAGACCAACTAAATCAGAATCCCTGGGGGGATAACCAAGGCATCAGTATTTTTTTTAAAGCTCCCCAGGTGATTCCAAAGTACAGCCACACCTGAGAACCTTTGCTAAAAACTCATGTCTCAAACTGACTAACTGTCCCATTTTACCTATTGCCTAATGATTGAAGAAAGCTTTTCATTTCTTGGAAATTAAAGAGAATTTAAGTCTGCACTTAAGAGAAGAATTGTGTTCAACAGATGAATGCTATTTAAAGACAAATAAACATAACATCCATAGGTTCATTAATTTGAGAGTTTTATTCAGCATGGAGGAGAAATACAGATATCTAAACCCACTAGAGAACTAAATATAGCCACAGTTTTTTAAGATCTACTTCACAAATAATTTTAATAGTGACTAAAGTAGTTTAAAACAGCTCTCCTGGTTATTAAATGCATTGGAAGATTTAGTTTACCATGGGCCAGGTATCTTGCTGAGCTTTATCTGATTTATCTCATTTAATCATCCCTAAAAAGCACAGTGGGCAGTTAATTAATTCTGTTTTATAGATGGCAAAACTGAAGCACAAAGAGCCTTAGCAACTTTTTAAGGTCATATACAACTAGTAAGTGGTATGGCCAGAATCTGAGCCCAACCACTGTCACTGGATAATCTGTGCTTTTAACAATCCAAGGGCATGAAACATTTGGCAGATTAGTAGGACACATGCTGTGACTCGTTTTTCCAATAGTGGTGATGGCTCTGCCTTGATGAGACCCAGCTTTTATTCTATTTCTTTTATTTTTGGAGGGCACAATTATGCACGATAGTTTTACTTCAGTAAACAGGGATGAGTTCATTGCCTACAGATAAAGAGAAAAACTTAGTTGCTCTAAGTTGATCAGCAAACCTGTGATCTTGAGCTAGTTAATACCAACTAGTAATTGTCCAAGCTGAACAGCTTTACAGGGTTTCAATAACAGAAAACAACTAATTTTTTCCAAATTAGTTACTTACTATTATACATGAATATTTCTGATACATAGCATTATCCTTATATTACAAAAAAGGACAAATAATATTATTGGTTTTGTTCTCTCATAAGGATTTGCATGGTGTCACCCCCTGCAAGGTGAGGAAAGCGTTTTATTTAAGTAGATAGACCTAAATTTTTCTTGAACAAAGGAATAGCATTTAAAATTAATCTTACTTTAGTGGAGGAGAGTGCACTGGACTGACCCAGTGGAGGTCTTATTTCAACCCAAATTCTCTATGACTGTGCTTTGCTGCTAGAGGAGTAAATGTGAAATAGATCTCTCTGGGAACCGGCTTCCCAGTTCAATCAGCTATTTTACCAACAAACATTTCCTTGTGAATAAAGAGGTTTAGGGCTGAGAGGTTCTTGTACATTAATCACATCTCTCTCTTTTTATTTTTTGTATTCAATGGGAGCTAAACTTAATTTTCATCAATTAACAGGTTATTGAAATACATATACCTATATATATATATATGTATGTATGTATGTATCTGTCTAGAAGAGTGATTTATTGTTGACTCCCTAAATTGAAATATTTTACAAGTGGCTTAATGGGAAGATGATGATAGATGATGGAATTAGTATAGAAGCTTAAACAGAAAGTCAGGTGACCTGATATCTACATCTATATCCTTCACTGGCCACCCAGCATTCATTAATGAAGCAGATGATAGAATAGATCAAGTTTCCTGTGAACACCATTTAGAAAAGAAAAGGTAGCTAGTACACAGAAGATCTAATTTATATTTCAAAGTATATTTGGATATAACTCAATTTTAGATATTTCTTTTAAGAAATATAATTTTAAATATTATCTTTCTTAAAGCCTTACTGTCAAGGACAGAGAACCAAAAATAGTATGTATGTGAATAAAAGTTTATTATAGAGCCTGTTGACTGGCACAGGGCTTGTGTGTAATAGGTTCTCACAAATACTTGTTGGATGAACACATATAAGTGAAAAGAGCAGGATTGGACTTCATTCTTTGGTCAAGTAAAGAATGCTAAAGAACAGCAGGCTGAACACATAGAACATAGAAGAAAACTCATTGAGTAAAGTCATATACACCAAAGAATGAAGAGAAGGGATGGCCCAGCCCACACTTTACCCTGCATGTTGTAAAGAGGAATTTGATATACATTGATGCAGAATGGTGGAAAGCAGCACATCTTTTCTCTTTATTTTCCATTTTATTAACTCCAGTGGGAAAACTTTATTCCTTTCAGCCATATCTAATTTTGATTTCTACTTTATCTCTCTTCCTTTCTACTTGTATTTTTCTTACTAAACCATTGACTGATTCATTCACTTTTTCACAGCTTGTTTTTGGGCTTACAAATCCACTGGAAAGGTATATGTGTGTGTCTGTGTTATTTCTATGAGTGTATATGTGTGCGTATGTGTGTGTGTATATGGAACAAAAATCTTTGAAATTAGATATTTAACATATGTACATTTAATGTGCTGAATCCTTCAGTTTCTTAAGTAAAATTAATACATAAACTGATAAAAATAAAGGGCTTTATAATAATCCAATTCACTCCATTCACCTTATAAGTAAAGAAGTTGAAAACTGAGAGAATAAGTAAATTGTCTAAGAACTAGTGTCATATACTAGTTTTGTGATACATATGGAATGACAGTATAGATTTTGTCATTAACAGTAACCTATTTTTACTTTACTGTTTTTTCATTAAATAGAGTAATAGAATTTTCTTCTATAAATTTGATTAGTACATTACTTTATGAAAAACATATAAAGTGAAAGTCAATTTTGGTTCTATCCGAAAGATGAGTATTTCATTGTAAATTTACTATGAAAAGTTGGAGAACAGGCAAAAATGAAAGAAAGTAAATTTCAAGCAATGGTACAAACAAAAGGTGTCCTAAATTATTTTGAAATAATGGGCTAAAACAATGACAAAGATGACTTTTTTCCTTTCAAAATTAAATACTGTTAGGAACTATGAAATCATGATGATCATTAATTATAATATAGTTTTCAATCATATGGCCTAATGTTTAATTTTTGTTTCCTCTTATTTAAAATGCTAGTGAAGTAAGGATATAATTCTTTTATCTAAAGATTTACACTTTCATAATGTTTATAATACTTAATTGGTTCCTTGAAAATGTTTGGTTAGTAGTTAAGTCTCTTAGAATAGACTGTCCTATGATCAATAATTTATATTTTTTGAGGATTTAACTCTGTTTCATGTTCACATGAGATAACTTCATTGCAAAATGTTGCTTGGTACCTGATGCATGTCCATATTCATTTTGTGTTACAGCATAATGAAAAATGATTTATTAATTAGGAGTTTCAATGAGTAGGTAACACATTTGAATATATTTACTGAGAGACTAAAAACTCTGGACTTCACTTTAATTTATGAGCCATTTAGAACTCAGAGATCAGTAAAAGTAGAGATACACCTTTATAGCAAAAATTGAATATTAAAAATGTAAGGAGATTTTCAAAAAATTGTTTATTAGTGTTACCTATAAATGCTAATATTTATTTATGATTTGTATGTGCTATCCAGCAGACAAATGAAGCATTTTTGAGGCCAAAGCCACATGCAGTACAAAAGGATAAAAAAATGTTCTGGATTTTCTGATATCTGGTTGGAATACTTTATGCCGATACCAAAACTGTAACTAGGGCACTAGAAATTTTCAATGAAGGAAAGGTATTGCGGTCTCTGCACCCAGTGGTTAACTTTTATGAACTAAAAATGGAAGCACCAAGCCTCAGTCATGGTGAAAATTACTAAAATTTCTGAATAGAATAAGTAGTTGTGTTGTTTTTTTTTTACTATGACAGAATAAAGACTAGTAAGTGGAGTGTGCTTACTAATAGGATCATTTGAGAGCCAATTGCTCGCTTTTCTTTTTTGAATTTCTCAAAACAACCATGTAAGGTGTAAAATGTTACAAGTTATGGTTATGCTCAGTATACAGGTAAGCGAAAAGGTTGAGAGAGTCTGACTAACCTACTGGGGTCTCTAGTTAGTAAAAGAGAGCTGAAATTTGAGTCCAGGTTTAATTTGATTCTAGACCCTTAGTTCATGTTATGTCATCATTCTGTTTCTTAACTGAACAGAAAGAAGGCCGCTATTCTTCATAAGAAAAGCAATGAACAAACAAGTACTTATCTTAGATAAGCAGTGTGTCTGTGAGATTTCAAGGTTGATTTTGGTGTTTCTTCAGATCTGTCCTAAGTGGCCTATCTCAATCACTTGTAGCCTTTGAGTAGAGCTTTTAAATTCTGGTTCAAAGAATGTCAATTAGGTTCTAGAATGATTGGCTTTTAGGAAATCCAGAGATGAATCATTTATGTAAGAGTTTATAAATTTTTAAGTATTTTAAGAATGGATGCAAAGGACAGAATTCAAGTTAATATATATGGAGGTCTCTACTTTCAAAAAAACTTACCCACTAATTAGTATAATTATTAGGCCTAAAATTAAGTTGCATGCTCTTATACTGTAATGATTATCATTTTAAAACTAGCTTTTTGCCTTCGAGCTATCGGGGTAAAGACCTACAGGAAAACTACTGTCGAAATCCTCGAGGGGAAGAAGGGGGACCTTGGTGTTTCACAAGCAATCCAGAGGTACGCTACGAAGTCTGTGACATTCCTCAGTGTTCAGAAGGTAAATGAACCTGAAAGCTGTGCAGGGCACTCTGCTCCCAGTTGTGTAGAACTGCAACTTGCATTAAAGGTTAACAGAAATGAAGCATATCAAAAGAAATATATTGTTTATTCAAATGCAACTATAGATCATTATTTGAGCATTTTCCATGTTTTTAAAATTGATTATTCCCAGATTAATGCAAAAGAGTGATCAGTTTGAATACCAACAGAGCTTCAGGCATCCTTCTGGGGAAAGTAAAAGTCTGGACTTACCTACTGTCTTGAGCTCACATGCTTCAAAATCTGTTTTTATACTTCGCCTGAGAGAAGCCAAATGAAACTTGGCCCTCTAAGACTAGTGCGCATTCTATTCACCCAGCACCTGCTTCTGCAGAAATGTTGCTGAACCTATGCTGAAGTGGTGTGGCAAGGGTGTATGGAGCCAGAAGAGAATATGGGAGGGGTCACTGAAAGTTCAATACCTTCCTGTGGGGTTTGGTGAAAATGTGAGTAGACCCAAATTTGATACATAGACTGGAAATGAATGCCATTCAGAATGGCATCTGAAGTGATCAGAGCAGCAGATCCCACGCTGTCTTGAAGGCAGGCACCCTAAATCCATGTCTATGTTTTTACCTCCTCTCACAGCATAAAAAGGCACTTACTTTTGCAGTGGAAAACCAAATGACTGACCAGAAGGAAGAGTAACCATTTCAGCCTTGTACGTGGTTTCATTTTTCTTAGTTACCGGGCTACCAAATAGCTGGCTTTTTAGTTCTATCAGAACCTAAAGCACTAAAATCCAATGGATTAAATTCTGACAGAAATTTAGTAGGATGTTTAAGTGCTTGGGGTTGGGGGGCTTTTGGAATGCTGTACAGTTTTTATAGTAAAATACATTTCCTGTTTGTTATTAACATTTTTTTGAAATATTTCTTCCATAAATACCCATTTAATATTAGGTTGGTATTTATCACATAAAAAAATAGCCATTGTTAGCTGATTGTCACAGAGAAGGTGGATTTGTTTTCTGTTGTTAGTTAATTTAAAATTCTTGACTTCATGTGCTAGTGCCAGTTCCATTTCTGTTTGTAAATTCTTACCTTCCATTCCATATCATATTCTGTTCACTATAACTTCTTCATTGTTTTCTTTACTTTTAAAAATAATAAACTGATCTGTAATAACGTTATGAACAAGTCTGTTTTGTATGAATAAATCTGTAGTTAATATTTGTCTTAAATTTACACATGGAAGAAAAATATCCTTCCTTTTGGGAACTCTCCACTATCACAGTTTTTCGATGTTGAAAGTCACTGCAGTGAGTTTTGTTTAACCTGGGAATGTGTTTTCAAGGGAAGGTTCCAGTCAAACCTTAAACAGCTTAGCATTTATGCGCCCTAGTCTGTGTAGGAATGTGATTTTCAACTCCTGGTTTATAAGAAGGGCCTTCATCAAAATACATGGCATAGATCTGGACTGATAGGCAAAGCAGAGAGTGACCACAGCTCTCTGTAAAAGGGCATTGCTCCTTAGTATTAATAGTACATGATGCTCTTGATCATGAAAGGTTGTAGACATGCTTTTTCTGGAAACAATGAGAGGCCTGACTGCAGTAGGGTAGCCCTCCTGTGGGAGCAGTGGGCCAACAGTTGCCTTGTAAGTATATTTCAGGGAGTGTGGATTGAGCTGTATTTAAATTTACACTATAATGAAAAATGTTTTGGCAAGATTTAATGAAGAGAATCTAATATAAGCTTTATCAATGTATTGATAGAGAAAACAGCTATTTATAAAGTGGATAATACTAAACATACAAAATAATGTAGGTATGATGTTAATTTCTATTAAAATACAAATGCTTAAGTAATATAATAGGTCAGCTATTTTATCTCTGGATATTAATTTATTAAATGGCAAGGTTCAAAGTTACATTATTATAAAGGAGATAGTAATGATCAAATCATTTTGTATATTTCAAATTAAATAAGAAAAATGCCTGTGAGCAAACTCTGAACTGTTTTGGAAAATACAGCATAGAGTAGAACAGTGTATATATCTTTTTTTTGGAAATTTTTATAACTATATTAATCATCTTGGCTAAGTAATCATCTGAAATTTGTCTGAAAGTCTGGTTCATAAAAGAAATATATCTTATATCTAATGATTAATATTACTTTCTTATAAATTAAACCTTTGAGATATATTAAGCATTCAAAAAGAAATGAATATACTTTTATTACTTTTAGAACTTTATATAATTATGTAAAGAAAATAGTACCATTAATGTTTAATTCAAAGATTATAAAAAAACTGAGGTACATAAAATCCAATTTCTTACTTTAACATTTGCTTGGGATTTAAAATAAAGCCATCATTTGAACAGATGTCTTATTTAATGATTGTCAAATATTTAAGTAAATACATTTTATTAAGTCATAACCACTATTTACTAATACTTTATACTTAAAACCCCAAATGATACAGCCGGAACTTTATGTGTGTAATTCCATACTGTGTGGGGAGAAAGCCTTTTAAAAACAGAGATTTAAATAAAACTTATTTATAAATGTGGATTTGTGAGACTATCCATATTTTAAACACTTAGTTTGCTGAAGTAAACACCAGCATGGATTTTTCTGAGAGCCATTCAAAATAGTTATTTTAGTCTGTAAACTCAGATCACCTGTTTTATAATTGAGAGAAATGGAACATAATACTTTTTGAGTTAGTTATTATGATGAGAAAGATGTTAAATTAATCCTACTTATAATTCATGTGTAGTTTTTGTAGTTTTCTACTATCATTTGTGCCAGAACTATATTTAGAAAAATATTCCATTTATGAACAGAAACATTTATTTAGTTTGAGTTCATATGATCTGGATAGTATTTTGATTTGATTTGATTTACTTGTTCTAAAGGAAGAACTTGCTAAAACATTTAAATAATACAGTGGCAACAGTAGAGCTGCAAGCAAACAGGGCTTGAGGGGCGGTGCTCATCCAGTCGCACTTTCACATAGACCGTGCTTTCACCCAGCTCTTTGAATAGGTGGACTTGGCTTCCACCTGTACGCTCTGAGCTGGGAAAACAGAAGATTCTTAGAATTCTGGAAGTTTCAAAAGTGACTATCAGTTTAAAATCTGGCTATTTTGAGGTAATTTGTGTGACTAACCTGATGGTTTGATGCAGTGGTGAGACAACAAACTTTTCAGCCTTGGCTAAAATGGCCCATTTACTTACTTTCCCATGGCCTCCGTTTCCCTGTCCCCCAGCAGGTGAGACTCCAACAGGAGGATAACCTACTGTTGTGAACAAGAAGGCCAAGGGTAACAGGTACAACTGTTGAAAAAGACAGGGAGATTGACTTTCTAACATTGTTGCTATCAGTCTGTGTTAAAGTATGACCAGTTAGAATGTATAGGAAACAAGTTAAAATATGCAGGAGAGAAAGGCAGTTAGGGAGAGTGGAAAGGTCACTGGAATGTGGGTCAGAAAACTTGTACTCCTGGCACAGCTTTGACATTTTCTGTTTTAGGTAAGTCCCTCAAATCTTTTGTGAGCCTTTTTCCTCACTGCAAGGATCAAACTATTTCTATGTAAAAAGTACTGAATAATCAAAGAATATATAACATAATTAATGTATTTTGCATCTCAGAATTATCACAGGATACATTTAATTCCCATCCCAATGGTAACTTCCACTGTCTACCAAAATCTACCATTATTCTTGCTAACCTTTATTATTGTTTAAAAAAATCTCGAGGTCTGCAACTGCATCCATAACTCTCTCTTCACTTTACTATAAACGTAACATACTAATTTCATGTTTCTGTACCATTTTATGTTATTTTTCCCCTTTTATAACTTATTCAGCTCTCAGCCATCCTTCAAGGTCCAAGTAAAATCCACTTTCTCCTAACAAGCTGTTACTGCCAAACACATAGAACTTTTGAAATAGAACAAATTATTTACAAATGTACTACTCAACATGAAGTCCAAGGACCAGAAGCATCAGCATTCCTGAAAGTTTGTTATTATGCCCCAGCCCTGTCCCCTAAATCAGAACTTGTCCTTTAACAAGATCTCAAAGCAACTTTTATGCTCATTAAAGTTTGGAGAAGCATTAGTCTATTCCACTCATTCTGAAAAGTGGCCCTTTCATAGAAACACCTGTTTAATTTGCATAGCTGTTTTTTCCTGAAGAAAATAAAAAAGCCTAATGTTTCAGGAAAAAAAATGTTTTACAGTAATCCCCATAGTGTAGCTTTCCGGAAAATAACTGTATTGCTCTCGTTAGAAAGGGGTATGTTCTTATAAACTGCATTTACTGAAGAAGACTTAATAACTATGCACTGATTGCTGAGTACCATACAGGGTTAGAAATTGTACACGTGGATATTTATATGGCCACAGTATTCTATTTTCATTCAGTACAATGGAGCAAGCAATGATGAATGCTGCATCATTATCAGTGAAGCTATCATATTTGCATTCTTTTATAAAAAAGGACTAAGGAAGTCTGTACCCCATTAAATTGGGAAGCTGAAATGTGATAATGCATAACCTATGTTGAGCATTTCAGTGTAGAAATGACCTTGGCCAAACAGAGCACCTTTATCAATATGCTCTTGGACCCCTCTTATTTAATAGTTCAGGTGCTTACTAACTAGTCTGGGGAATCCCAGTATCAAATGAGAGGAAGCTGAATTGGTCCCTTATCTTAGTTCATAGGTTAATTTACATGAAAAAAAGTAGATGGACCAAGTGAAATGGTCTCATATTTCAGAAACTTAATAGTTAACATCCTATTTGATTATAAAAATCAAAGTTTCAAATGCAATTATTCTAATATTGTATCCCAAATTATTACAGATATTCATTGGGCTAGATACCAGTAGATTAAACTAAACATTGATATCCCTCACCACCTGACCCCTACCTTCAAAGTTAGATGATTGGTAATGACAAGATACAAATGATGTGTTTGGGGAAGTTTGCCGGATTCGTAGGAACTTCAAGCAATGATTTATTCCACAGGATGCCTGCTGCGCTACAAATCAACCTGTCCATCTGAGAAGTCTCATTTTCAGCTAGTTGATGTGATTCAGAGTTTTCAGTGTGACATAAGAGGCCAGCCAGAAGATAACTATTAATTAACCTCACAGAATCATCATAAGATCCTGAATAATTAGATCAGCTTATACATTTTTAAAAACAGTGAGTACAAGGAGTTCAATAGCAGGTCACCTTCTATCCTAAGCTAGATAAGAATGTAAGCTGCCCAGTTATTTGACATGGATGTTCACTAATGGATTCTTTTAAAATATCCACGTTCTCTGAATAATACTAGGTTTCTATCACAGCTGGTCTGTCACATCTATCTTGTCCTGATTTTGGCATTAACCATAGGAATATGATGTGTACTCATTTTCAGTTGTGTATTTCCTATGTATGTGTTTGGAGAGTAAGAAGAGAGTGGAAATTAATCGTGTTGATGGTATGGATACTGAGATTCCTTGCATTTTAGACCAACAGAGGAAAAAAATCCCCAAGGGTCTATCTCATAATTCTGGTTCTTGGTACCTTTTGGAGAGTTACTGAAAAATTAGAAAGACAGCATCCTGACCCTATGGTGAATTTGTATGACACTAACTACAATGATGGCCTATTTAAAATACGCCCTATTTTAAAGTGAAAATGTTACAAAACGTTTTCTAAAAGTCTCTTTGCAAAACAGGTGATTTACTATTTTGTAAATTCTGTAAATAAAGAATAAAGAACAGTGGTGTTCTATTTTCTGTCAGAATTAATTAACATGCCTTACTTTGATTTTATTAGTTGAATGCATGACCTGCAATGGGGAAAGTTATCGAGGTCCCATGGATCATACAGAATCAGGCAAGATTTGTCAGCGCTGGGATCATCAGACACCACATCGACACAAATTCTTGCCAGAAAGGTAAAATACCACCAAATCCTGTTCCAAAGATAATGTTTACAAACTGTTATTTGTGCGGGGACAAAATGTCATAGAAATTGTCTTCATGTGATATTTTCTGGATAGTACTAGGTCAAAAGATTTATGATAAGGCATATGAGAATGTTGGTTACACCTTCAGCTGGTCTTGGCTGACTCGATTAAGAGTCCCTGAAATCAGGATGGTCCTGTACACAGGAGAATCAGTGGGCTGCAGGAGGGGCACCATAACAGAAATCCCCTCTTTCTCATCCATAGCAGAAGACAGAGGCCCCTTCAGTAATGACCACTCTGACAGGCCTGAGCTGTGGTAGGAGGAGGCATTATTGCTAAATGCGAGCCGATCTCCTTCTAGAGCCGTATTTCCAGTGTCCTAGGTAAACACTATGACATAAGTCATGCCTACAGAAAGGGAATGAAAGGTGGAGCAAACGATTCTTTCAGGTGTTTTGTCCTAGCCCATTTTGAAATTGACCATCTGGTGAAGTTGGGTGACCAAGTCTACTTTTGTCCTTAGGAGTAGGTTTTGAGCTTAATTAGTTATTTTTGTCTAGTTTGGCTCATTCCTTTCACATGAAACATTTCAGTTGGAAAAAAAGAGTTAATTCCCTTATTTTTATTATAAAGAATTAAAATACAAATAATTACAAAGAAGCTCTATCTCTACCTTTCTTTGGAAATTGCTGAAAGGTGTTTTTTGTTTCTTTATTTTTTTGATGAAATTTAAACTCTGCTTTCTTTTTAAGTGCATCTCTTGTCTTTTAAGTGAGAACAGAGGGATATGGGAGCAATTAAAATCAAGTCACCAATTCAGGACCCTATTAATTTAAAGGGAGGAAAGAGTAGAGAAAGTGGTGTGATGGAGTTTGTCTCTTGCTCTGGTGGAGGTGAGGGCATGACCTAGAAAGGCTCCATTTCCAAGATGAGCTATCATTAGTAACAGAGCTATTAAAACCTAACTTTCAGTTTGAACTTCAAGCCTGACCTAGAAGAGGACCTGTTTTCTTAATGAGTGTTCTCCACCAGGTCATGTTTATGTAATCTGTCCCTAATCAGGCTTTGGGACTTCAGCTGGTGGACTGGTACCAAATGAACCTAACTTATCAACAAAGGGATGGCACTCTACACCTAGGAGAATATGCAGGTTCATAGATTCAATAATCAATCATTAGCATTCTTTGTAAGGCAAAACACAGAAAACCTCTTCTTTACGCAGCTAGCAGTACTGGGCTAAGTTGAAAATTATTTTGTGAGCAGAGGGCTGGGTGGTGTTTCCAGGCAGATTTACATGACACTTTTCTTGGTGTGGTTTGCAGATATCCTGACAAGGGCTTTGATGATAATTCCTGCCGCAATCCTGATGGCAAGCCGAGGCCATGGTGCTATACTCTTGACCCTGACACCCCCTGGGAGTACTGTGCAATTAAAATGTGTGGTAAGTTAGGGTCAAATTTATTGCTTCCTTTTCCGCTCACAGACTGGATCTAAGCAGGCAATTATTAGTGAAATAGGTTAACAACTGTTTCACTTGATGCTTTAATGTGTGTAGGTTTTAATATTTTAAGAATGTGTCATGTAATTCTACCCAATCTTTTGAATTTTCAGGGAGCCATTATTCTGAAAGAGATAAATATTTAAGTGCACACATGCAAACAAAACATTTATTTACACTTATGTTAAAGTCCTCAACAGTCTCGTATTATCATGAAAGAGGAAAAAAAAATCCACAGAGGGAAAAAAAGATCAGGAACCAAATGCAGTATCATAATGTCATTAGGGAGCTAGGACCTTAGATTTTTACCTTCCAGTCCTGTATCTTTTCCCTACTTTTCCTTTCCAGACATAACATGAGCAGTCAACTGACTGTGAACCTCTTGTGGTGAATGACAGAGGCTGCAATGAAGAATAATGTCTGAGAGATTTTCACACACATCTTCAATCTCTAATAGCTGCTCCTGACCTCTCTGGCTGTCCCAATACACAGCCTGAATTCTATTTCAGACCATGGGTAGTCCTACAGTCCTTTTCCATATACTGGCCTTTACCCAACTTTCCTGAATTTGTGATAAAAGCTTTTCTCCCTTGCTTGGTGACATCCATGTACATCTGCTGTCATATCCTCCATGGTTAACTCACACATTTTTACTCTTCTTTGAAATAATACTGGATAATAATTAGATATAGATGTGCTTTTATTTCTATAAGTACAGGTATGACTTTTTTTTACTAGATCCTAAAATGCTTTAAGCCCAGTAGAATTGGATGAATTTAGTTAGGCAAATAATGTTACAAACTGGACTGATGATGTAAAGATATGTATGTATAGAGAGATATGTAAGGACAATCTACATAAGATCAGGTATATCACGGGTACTGATGGTTACAAGGATATGGTCAGGTAGGTACTGGTCTTTCATAGGACAGCACCATGGGGATATTCTTTTGAACAAACCTAACTATTTTCTACACTATGATACTGCCGGAGTAAATCTCACCCCACTTAGACCCACTAATACAAGGGAATGTTTTGGATGACTCAAATAAAGCACACAGAAAGGGGATGTGTCTGGCATATGTGAAATAAATAACTACAGAATCCGGCAGGCTGTCAATGTGAGCAGTGTCCCAAGGCAACTGAATCATCTGTTTGGTCCTTTAAAATAAAAGATGACTCCTGTGACAGTGTTTATATAGAGTGGGTAAGTTTCACTCATTGACTTTTTAAATCTTGTTAATCTTTCCACCTTTCTAGATCATTTAGGTACAATAAACCAACTGTTTCCCTTCCATTTTTTGTGTTTTAGGTACTCTTATAAATCATCTCTGGAATAAAACTAGTACAAGCACACACACACACACACACACACACACACTCACACTCACCCTGTAAGTGGCACACACACACACACACACACACACACACACACACACACACACACACACACACACAAAATCTGTATTGACCTCCTCTTTATTTCTCAACCAGTCTTTGGCTATTTTTAAGACATTAAGAGAGGAAAGAAATAGAATGAATATGACACTTCTTAACTATTAAATTATTTCATTTTCTTTTCTGTCCTAAGAAGAGTTGGCTAATTATGTGACTAATATGCAATAATTCTGATGGCTTTCTTAAATAGAGGGTGTTGCTTATAGAATGCTCATTCTAAGAAAATGGTGGTAGAATTTGTCAGCCAAATCCATGTAGTTAACATTAAAATTATCTGAGCTTTGGGAATACTTCAGAAGTATTTCATTACAGGACAGATTTTAGTTTGTATAATTATATATAGTAACTGCATTTTTAATAAAATGAATGAAACAAAGTTATCATTCTGGAATCCTGGAAAGCATAATAAATAACATTTCATGAATAAACATCTTCCAGATATTTAGGTTTATATTTATAGTAAAGCCTATAATGCAAAACTAAGAAATTAAGTGGTGATTTCAACTGCATATTAGTTTTCTATTGCTGTATAACAAATTACCAAAAACTTAAAACAGCACACATTTATTATCTCATAGTTTCTGTGGGTCAGGAGTCCAGGCATGACTTGGGTGGGTTCCCTGCTTAGGACCTTGCAAGGCTGTGATCCAGGTGCCCGCCAGACTTACTGCCTCTTCTAAGACTCAGCATACCAACCCAAGGTCACCTGTTGTTGGCATATTTCAGTTTCTTCTGGTTGTAGTGCTGAGGTCCTCAGGTCTTAGAAACTGCTTGATGTTTCCTACCCCATAATCCTCTTTGAAATGCAGCAGTTTACTTCAAGGCCAACAGGATGGCTTTCTTAATTGCCACCATTTATTTAACACCTACAGGAAGGTGCTACTTTGAGCCTCTGACGACCTCTATATCCTCTTTCAAAGAGCTCACCTTATAGGTCAGGCCCACCTAGGGTAATCCCCCTTTAGTTTCCTTACAGTCAGTGGATCAGGGCTTTAATTACATCTGCAAATTTCTTCACTTTTGTTGTACCGCATAAACTAATCACAGGAGCAGCTCTCCTGTCTTATCCACAAGTTCCACCCATACTCGAGGGGAGGGGATTATACAGAGCATACACCAGTAGGTGGGAATCTTGGGGATCATATGAGGAATCTGTGCACCACACATGATTACATGTACTGGCTGTAACAGAATATTGGTTATCACTTTTATTTGTATCATTTGATTCTTGAATAAGCTTTTTGGTTATCTCTAAGACCTGACTGCTTGAATTAATTCTGAGTTTCAGCATGTTTGAAGAAAATAACAGAGCTGATGAATGTGTCACTTATCCTCTCTAAGATTGAAAGCGGTTTTCAAACTCTTGTTTCATCAAATAATAACTGTTAGAAAATCACAATTGCCACCTTTATTTAACACCTAATAGTATTTTCCATCTCCTACCAAGAATCTTTATTTCAGGTCCACAAAATGGCTGATTAGGCCAGGGAGGAAAGGTGTGGACAGGCACGGCTTGGTGGAGCAGCAGTGCAGTATTCAAGACATGCTAATTTGGTTGATGCGGGTAGGGATAGCATGAAGACAGAGAAGTAGAAGGAGATGAGGTTTTTGCAAGGCAGACCAAGTAGGATCTGTGAGTAGCCCAAGATTGTCATGAGAAACACTGACAAGTTAAGCAAGGGAGAGTGGTCTTCTCTGATTTGTGATCCATAATAGTAGTTTCCAAATTGTATCTGTGAAACCCAAAGGACATATCTCCTAGGGGTTTATGGACATTGGTAACTTAAAAGGCTCAAATTACAGTAATTTAAAGGGCTCAAATTCCAGTTCCTCTACTTCCATGTGATTTTTTTCCCCCAAAGTCCCCCTCTTGAGAAGCACACGTTCCTAAGGAGTCAGTCAAGTTCAACATCCTACCTTCCCATTTACAACCACCCTTCCATACTTTACTCCCATCTTTCCTAAATTTTAGTGTGGTACATTGTCCTGGGGTGTAAAAACCTTGGGGATACTAAACAAAGAAACCTTTGAAAATACTATATATGCATGCTGTTTATCATGTCATGTACTACTACTAATTATAAACTCTGTCTGGAATATAAATATATGTGTATGTGTGTGTACACATGTGTGTATCTAGTGTATGTATATCTCTTAGAATTTTGTGGTGACAAGAAATTTAAAAAATTAATTTCAGTACCTAAAAATATTTCAGAGAAGTATGATGGGGTAAGGAATAAAAGACTCTACAAGATAAAATAAGATATATTACATTGAACTAACATTCTATAGTTAGAGTGGAATGGAAAATAATTCGAGGAAATAAAGTTGGTAATGCATATTTTATCCAGAAACAGGGAGGTACCACATCATTGTGGTATTTAGAGTTCATTAAATTCATATAAAATATATAATATGTTTTTGTTTAAAAATGTCAATAATGTATGCTAGAAATCACATCTTTCACATATATTTAAATTTACCATAAAAAGTATAGATGTCAACTTAAAAACATGAGAGGGAATATGAATATTTTTCAAAATTCTTTTACCAACAGGAGAAAATAGAATAAAATAAAAACAAAAAGTAGAGTTAAATAGAAACCAACAACATCTTAAGACCACTGATGCAGAATTATAATACATTTTGAGGTATTGGCAGGTAGAGGGTTGAGGAAGAAGCAGGTGGATCTGATAAGAGCTGATTTTAACAGACCAGTAAGCAATAAAGAATTAAGGCAGTAAGCAGTGAGAATAACAAGGTGAGGAAGGACATGAACAATATTAAAAAGGTAGAATGTTCAGTTTACAATGACAAATTGGGTGTAGTAGGGAATGAGATAGAAAAAAGTCTGTAATATCTCCTAGGTTATTGGACAGAGATAATGCATATTTTAGACCTGTATAAATTGGAGGAGAAAGACAGTAAGCTAGCTCTGCTTATATTGAGATGCAGGTGCTTGGTGTCTGTGATTAGAGCACATCTAAGTTCAGTCTTCTCTGAAGGTTATGCAAAGCCATAAGTAGTGATAGCAGAAGCCTTGGCATAGCAGCAATCCCAGGGAGCATACAGAGAAAACTAAAGGGGTTGTTTGTCCCTTTCCTATATGATTCATTTAATAAATATTTACCAAGTAGCTCTTACATGGCAAATGATTTTCCAGTTGCCTAGGATATAGAAGTTAAGAAAACAAACGAAAGCCTATGATAAAATTGAAATTTCAGAGCTTGAGCACTGACTAGTAAAGTGAAAGTTGACATTGCCTTGACCTGGGGATATTTACACCCTTCAGACTCAAGGTTTTGATTAGTGCTGTTTCTTTTGTTTGTTAAAAAGCTCAATGACCCCCAAATTGTTCTTGTCACTTTGTATCCAACCTTCTAATCTTATAATCAGCATATCACTGAAAGTGAAGGATGAACATGGTTCATCACCTGACAGATGTGTGCACAGCGTCCAGACAGGAGGGCTTCTCAGTCATCCTT